ATGGGTCCACTGTGGCGCGACTCAGCAGGTCTGCTTGCTGGTTGTTGACTCCTGAGATGTGCTCGGCCTTGATGGAGGCTAGGTTGAGCTCCGCCCAGGAAATCAGGAGTCGCGCCTCGGACATCAATGCCCTGGACCTGGTGCCCCCCTGACGGTTGATATGTGCCTTGGACGCCACGTTGTCCGTGAGGACCAGGACGTGACGACCTCTGATCGTGTGTCTGAATTGGCGTAGAGCCAGGTGTATGGCCCTGAGCTCTAACCAATTTATGTTGTGTCTCAAGTCTGCACGAGACCAGCGGCCTTGCGCAAACTGAGACCGTAGATGGGCCCCCCATCCGAACAGACTGGCGTCCGTAGTGATGGTGATGCGGTCCGGTTCCTTGAAGGGAGACCCCCGATTTATGGCCCGCGAGAACCACCAGCGGAGCGCTTTGCGGACGTGAACCGGGACCCTGACCTGAATATTGGATGCGCTGGTGTTTGTGCGCTGGAATGGGAGTAGGAACCACTGCAGGTCCCGCAAGTGCAGTCTGGCCCAGGGAACAATGGCTATGCAGGAGACCATCTTTCCTAAAAGTTGAGACAGTAGGAGTAACGGGACAGAATGTTCCTTGTGCACCCTGCGAGCCAGATCCCTGATGCTGATCGCTCGCTCCTGGGAGAGATAGACCATGCAATTGGAGGTGTCTATCACGGCTCCCAGGTGCAAGAGTCTGGACGCGGGAACTGTCTGGCTCTTTTGAAAATTGACCGAGAAGCCATGTAGTTGAAGTACCCGGATGGTGTAATTCACATCCCTCTGGGCCGCCTGCAAGGAGGACGCCTGAATCAGGATGTCGTCCAGGTAGCATTGGACGCGAATAGGAACCTTCCTCAACTGAGCTGCCAGGACTGCTAGAATTTTTGTGAATACCCTGGGAGCCGACAAGAGCCCGAAGGGGAGGGCCCTGTACTGAAAGTGTTTGCCCTGGTAGCAGAACCTCAGGAACCGGTGGTGAGCTGGGTGAATGGGGATGTGCAGATAAGCCTCCGTGAGGTCTATTGATGCTAAGAAATCCCCTTGTCTGATCCCTCCCAGAATGGACTGGAGGGATTGCATCTTGAACCTTTTGTAGGTGACATAATGGTTGAGATGCTTGAGATCTAGGATAGCTCTCCACCCCCCTGAGGACTTGGGTACCACAAAAAGGATTGAATAGAATCCTTTCCCTCTGTGGTCTTTTGGAACCGGTTCTATTGCTTGAATTTCTAAAAGGTGGTGGATGGCCTCCTGCATAAGTTCCCGTTTCTGTGGATTTCTGGAAACGGAGCAAAGGACGAGTCGTTCTGGGGGTGTGGCTAGAAACTCCAGGGACAGACCGTGCTGGATGGATTGTAGAACCCAGCTGTCCGTGGAGGAAAGTTCCCACTGGTGGAAGAAGTGAGCTAGCCGCCCCCCAATGGGAAGGGATGTGTGTGAGTCATTTAAACTTCCTAAAGGGGCGTCCTGCCCCACGAAATGGCCTTTTACCTTGTCCCTGCTGTCTGGGCCTAAACCCGGACCTATCGTAAGGGCGGTCGTATGGCCTCTCCCTGGGGTTAAAGGGGCGGGAAGTGTGGGTGGTGGAGACTCCCGCAGGCTGCCGAAAGGACTGCCTACGAAAGTAGGTGGTGGGACGCTTGTCAGACTTCTTAATTATATGGGCCATAACCTTGCGCTTATCCTTGTTTTCGACCAGATAAGGAGCAAGGGATTCCCCAAACAAATTGTTACCCAGGTAAGGTGCAGACGCAAGACCCCATTTAAGTCTGGTATCAACCTGCCAATGCTTCAACCACAACATCCTCCTGGCCGTGATGTTGGAGGCCAAGGATCTAGAGGCGAAGACAGCAGATTGAAGGGAAGCGTCCGCAGCGTATTCAGTGGCCGCCACCATTTTACTCAGGTCCTGATGAGTACGTAAGTCCTCAGCAGGGACCCTGGCTTGAAGCTGACGCAGCCAGAGAAGGGTGGTTCTGACAAAGAAGGATGTGCAGCTGGCCGTTTTAATGGCCCATGCCGCTGATTGGTGTGTCTTCCTGAATGTATGTTCCCATTTTTTATCGTCCGCTTTCAGCGCCTGTGTCAAGTCCCCAGCAACCGCCGTTTGAGATACTAATGGGGTCCAAGCTTCGTCTACCTTAGGAACTTCCAGCACATCACTGAGATCAGTGGAGGGGCTGAATAACTTTCTGTCGGTCCCACTAATGGAAGGAATCGAGGCCGGTGAGGCCCATGGCTTCTTAATCCCTTTAAGGAAGATGGACGGGCATGGAACATGGTGTTCGGTAGTGACTTTCTCAAAGAATATGGGGTGAGGGTCGGTGTCTGACGCCACTAGTGGCTGAGGAAATTGGTCAGACCCTAAGTTTGCGGTTGCAGTAGCCTTACGAAGGATTGACAGGAAATGAGCCGGATTGAAGAGACCCCCTGAGGTGGAAGGTTCAGGAGGGAGTTCCTCATCTTCTGAAAGGAGAAGATCCGGTTGCTCCCCACCCTGGGGGAAGGAAAAACCACTCACCGAAGAGTGCGCGGGAGACATAGGCTCTTGAATCATTGGGAATTCTGCGGGAATTTCGTAATGAGGCATTGCCGAGGTGGAAGCCCCCTGATCAGGTGATGGAGAGGGGCGCTGGCCTAAGGCTCTATCCACCACCTTGGAGAGCAAAGCCTCGAGGCACGCATCAGCGAAGATATCTGCCAAATCCATCCCCCTGGAGCCCAAGGCTGTGGGTGTGACTGTGGGTTCTGAAACCATCCCAGAGGGAATTGTGGGTTGTTGAACCACAGTGGGAGGAGGACTTATGTTCACCGGGGTTCCCGGAACAGACCAAACTCCCTGGGCAGAAGGGTCAGGTCCTAAGGGCAGATCGACTTCAGTATCCTCCATCTGCCTTGATTCTAGTTCGGCCTGCTTCTGTGCTCTGGAGAACTCCTTCTCCAGAGCCTGGTGCCTACGGCTGGCTTGCTTCTCCGCCAGCTTAGAAGGTTTCGGGAGCACATGTTTAGTTTTTGCTTTTGCCTTGCCTGCCGTCCCCTGTCCAGAAGACATAGTGCAGCCGTGACCGGAAGATGGAGTGGATTGAGGTAAAGAAGAGCCTTCCATTTCAGTGAGCAGTTTCAGATAAGCTGAGGTGATGCTCAGGCAGGCAAGAAGCTGGCGGAGGCGAAATTGGAACAAACACAGAGGCTGTTCCCCTGACCACCCGACCAAAAAATAATTTTTATTTTTCTCTCTGGGCAACAGTCACGGCCCTTGAGGTAGGAGCCGAAGGCACGGTTGGAACCACTCCTTGTGTTCCGCCCCGGAGGCCTTAGGTGGCCAGGCAATGAGCACCAGTGAAATCAAGGCAAGAAGTCCCAAAAATAACCAATTTAGGGGCTGGCCAGAGTCAAGCGAAAGCCTAACCAAGTCAGAATTGCTTGAAAGGGTGATTGAGTTGTTAAAGATCTTTGATAATGTAATTCCCCCCCCCAGATGAGACCTGGGACAGGGTAACTGATATAATGCTTCGTGAGGCCTAAAGAAGCTGCCACGTGGCTTCAAAATGGCGGCCGCCAGTAACTAATTAGCTAAATACCAGAACCGGATGGGGAATTTAGTGGAGATCGAGGATTCTGCAGTCTGTTTTACTTGTCCTATGTCTTTGTGCAAGGTTTACTGTGAAAACCGAGGCTTGAGAAGGAACGAGGCCTGCAGCACCTCGCCCCAAAACGGAGTTTCAAAATGGCGGCCGCAACGCATTTCTCCTTGCCAAGAGGCTCCGCAGCCTCAAAACCAAGTATTTCACGCTGAAACGGATCGCAAATGAGATTTTGGGGCTGTTTGTATACCCCCCGAGGCTTCCCCTCGATCGCAAGACTGAAAAGCGATCCGGACTTCGTTGCCCTTTTTCGGCAACCAAAATGGCGCCCGCGATCGTTCCAGGCAGTCCTGAGCGATCCGGATGAGGTAGCCTCACAAGGGAGTACTCCGTGAAGCAGGGAGAGAAAGAACGGCCGTTCTTTCCAAATCCCCTGAAACGGAGTTACTCTCTACCCTCCCCAGAGCCCTGGGGAAGAAAAAGGGGAATCCCTTCTGGGAATTCCTCCCCCCCCCCACTCCCTTACCATCCCAGGGGCAGGAATGGGGAAAAAAGCACTGATCCCAGTGAAATTAATTTAATTAAAGGGAATTCGAATTAGCTAGGAATAGTTTGGGAAAGGGAGAATTCACAATAGGTTCTAACCTGCAATTAACTGAGAGCCAAACCTGACACGTCGTCAAGAGCTGAGACCAAGTTAAAGACTGGATCAGCAAGAGGGGGCGTGTCAAGTTTGACTACTTGGTCTCAAGAGCAGGCATCCAATGAAAACCCACATGTGAATTCTCCATCTCCCGTACTGGAGAATATTGATCCTTTCTTTACTATTTTACAATTAAATTTCCTGGGAAAGGCTCCCAAGAAGTTAAAAACCTCCGAATGTGAATGGAAGCACCATTTTAATTTCTATGGGGGACAGAAATATACAATATTGAAGTGGAAGTAACATAAAGCTACAGTTTTGAAATTTGAGAACTGAAATAATTGTTACAATTTTCTCTATGAAAAGAAAAAAGAAAAAAAACACTGAGGTGAAACATAAGAAATCAATCCTTTGTTTTAAGAGTGGAAAATGGATTCTGAATGACATCTAGTGGTGGATCTGAGTATAGCACTATAACTAGCTGCCTGCCTGCTTGGTGATTCCTAGCCTAAGGGAGAACAGCTGGCAATAAAGGAAAATATTTTGGCATACTTATCATCCTGACCTTGTTGGATGATAAACACCCATTGAGCTTGGACTTTTAATCTCAAGAGCTAGTGGAAGAGAGAGAAAAATGACTTTTGATTATGTCTGGCTGGGAGAGATTTTTGAGCTGTTTTCAGGGAGTTTGAACACTTTGAACATTGTGGATTATAACCTTGCTTGACTGACAATTTTTGGATGCCTGAGACAAAGGATCACTATAAAATATTGCTTTTGGGACTGGACCTGTATTCTAAAATCTATTGGATTATAAAGGCTGCATATAAAGACCAGAAAGCTAGAAGAAACTTTTGTTTTACTCTTACTGAGACTGGTGATATTAGAGGATCCCCAGGAATGATGCCTCAAGAAAAAACAAATATCTTTCAGAAGGAAATACACTCTATGCTACAACTAATTCACCAAACAATTGTTGCATACAAAGAGGACACAAAAAGAAACCACAATGAGACTAAAAATAATCTAGATGATATAAATGAGCAAATCTCCAAATTAAATCTACAACTAAAAAGCTACCAGACAACGACTACAAGGTATGAACAAATAAACCAGAGATTGGAAGATGAAGCAGAGAAAATGGACCTACAGATGGAAGAGATGAAAGAAGGGAAATATAAACTATCGTACAAAAATAAAATACTGCAAGACCTACTCATAACAATGAAATTGCAAAAGACCCTTTACCCTTTAAGCTTGCAAGATGCACGTGATGACAAGGAAGAAGATTTTGGGGGATGGAACATGTCCTGTTTTTGCTCCCCATGGTGCAGCGGCATCCCTTTTTCGCACACTGCAGCACAATGGCAGCCCATTTTTGCACTGTGTGGTGCAGCGTCCTTTCATGCCCTGCATCCGCAGCACTAGCACAAATGGGGGGTGGCCACAGCCACGACCCACAGGTTGGAGACCCCTGCTACAGAGGAATTATTGACTCTGTCATGTTTACCTCTATAACTGTCTGGTCTGGCACTGCAACCAAACAGGACAGGTACAAACTTCAATGGATAGTTAGGACTGCTGAAAAAACAATTGCAACCAGCCTGAGGAACTGTATACTGCAGAAACCAGAAAGAGGGCTGAGAAAATATCTACAGACCTCTCACATCCTGGATATAATCTATTTTAACGTCTCCCCTCAGGGCACTGCTATAGGGCTTTGCACGCCAAAACTATTACATACAAAGATAGTCCCCCCTCCCTGTGCCATCATTCTGCTGAACACTTAATTCCCACAGCATTGTCTCATTTCTCATTTTTTCCCCTCATCCTCTCATCTTCCCTTTTATCTTCTCCTATTGTTTTATTATAATTTATCAGTTATTTTTATTATGATCTATGATCTATTATTTGCTGATCTATGACCTTTTACTTGCTGTTTATTTATTTTATTTATTTATTTATTTTATTTAATTTATATGCCGCCCTTCTCCCGACAGGGACTCAGGGTGGCGCACAACATATTTAAAACCAGAACATATATACAATCCCCCCCTTAAAACCGAATTAAACCGAATTTTAATGTTGCGTCTTCCGAATATTTAAAACCCAATGTAAAATCCACCCTAGGTCAGGTCCGCTTGCTGGAAGAGCCATGTCTTGAGGGNGATATTATTATTTTTAATATTAGTATGGTATTGTTTAATATTTAGGTTATGAATATGTTTATTATTGTGTTTAACTTTAATTTGTTTAAATTTGTTTTAAAGGGGAGTTAAAGCGCATTATGGACTTGGTTATTTTAATAGTTGGTTAATGTTAGATAGATTTTGATTATTATATTTGTAACCCTGTGTTCAGCTCTGGAAAGTGGGGGAGGGGGAGGGTGGGGTTTTGGGGTGGGTATGGGGGTTTATACTGTAATCTTTATAAAACTTTTAATAAAAAAAAAAGATGGAGCTAAAACTGAGGAGTACTTAGCCTCTTAGTTTCAAAGTTTGTAACTTGAATTGGCTGGGGAATTCTGGGAATTGAGTCCACACATCTTAAAGTTGCCAAGTTTGAAAAAGACCACAGGATGGCAAGACTTTTAGCTCTGCCTTCTAGGGGGATTAAACTAATCTCCAATTACCAAATTATCAAATATATGTTGCTATAAGAGATATCATCATCATTGTCTTTGACCGCAGAGCGTAAGCTGACATACTTTTTCAGAAAAGTATGTATTATAATACAACCATTATTTAATATAAAAATAGTTATTAGAATTTATGACTTTTTCTTACCAGAACTGAATGCATTCCCATATATACTCGACTGAAACAAACCAGAGAAGACCAGCAAATTGTGAGAATTAGCCCGTACATGAAAGGATACTAAGGAAAGAAAAACAAGAGTTATTTGCAACTGAATTTTTACAATACATGGACACCATCATTCAAAATAGTAACTTACAATACAAGCATAAAATACAGTTATCATACACTTTTTTCATTTGTTCGTCCTCAATTTCAAATTTCAGCACATTCAATACACATATTGGCAATTTCATCTTCATCATTTGTACATATTCTGTCTTCTGTGCTCAGTTTCAAACCTCCAGCTATCAACTTTGAATTTTTCTCTAAACTGTGCATATAAAAACTGCTGAAAACTCAATCCCTCTGTAACCAATTGTTCCCTTGGTTTCATTTTACAATATAATCTCAATCTCTGCTACTTTGATGTAGATAGACCTCAATCCGACTGTTGCAAGTGAAAAACAATAAAGACTGCTTTTTTGGAATTGGCGAAGCTTTCTGCAGAGAAATGTTTCTCAGTTAAAGATAAATTTCTAACTGAAATCCAAATTTATTTGACTACTTTGTCTGATTTATTTTTACTTATGATCATTAATTATGTGCCATCAAGTCATTTTTGACTCCTAATGGCCACATAGGTAATTCTCTCCCATGATGATTTATCCCTAACCTGTCCTTCCAGGTTTCCCAATAGTGTACTCATTGCCACTGCTATTGAGTCTGTCCATCTTGCTGGTGGTCGTCCTTTTTCACCCTCTTTCATTGTCTTAAAAGTCCTCTTTTATTATCATAGAAGTCATCAAATTCAACCTTGGTTCGAATGGAATAAGACTCCTGCTTTGAGCAGAGGGTTGGATTACAAGACCTCCAAGGTCTCTTCCAGCCCTCTCATTCAGAAAATAGGCAACAAGAGCTATACAATTTGGCATAATTCTGAATGCATTCCCATATATACTCGACTGAAACAAACCAGAGAAGACCAGCAAATTGTGAGAATTAGCCCGTACATGAAATAGAGAATGATTATAAACATACATGGCATCATTTACAAAGTCCATCCTGCTTATCTGCATCTGAAATCATTTTAGGACTTGTTAGAACATTCCACCATCTCTTTAGTATTATGTTGCTTCACAATCTGCTCTAATATTAACAAGACTGTCCTGCTTTCAAAATCTTGCATTTGTAACACATCTCTCCATAAAGAATAAGTAACTATGACTTATGAGAAACCCAAGTACTAGAGCTAGTTAATACAGAACGTGACATGACCTCTGAAGGATTATTGCATGAAGAAGGCATATGATAGTTTCCTTCACATACCATTTAATTAAAAAATAGTTATCGTAAGATAACTAAAAAGATCTACCGGTAATTCATGGAGGATAAGATGATGATCTGACTCTATCAATGCTACTCCTGGAAAGCAAAAAATGTTATTATATTCTTATTCTGCTTATGAGCATCTGATAAATATCTGGTTTATCACTGAGTGTTGGACTAAAAAGACCTTTGGTCTGAGACAACAATAATGTTATTACCGTTTGTGACCTTCCAAGGACAGACAGAAATGCCAGTTCAGTTAGAAAGCAATTACATGTTGAGGATTTTCAGACATAGTATAGAAAATAGCATGTACTGGTAATAGTTCCTTTGGAAACTTCTACTGATCTGTCTCAGCTGCTGATCCCTAATTTCCACCTATTAGATTAAAATGCAATTCTGTGATAGCATATATATTGGCAATTTGTAGCTTTTCTATATAAACTACCCAACCACCTAGTTAGTATTTGCTTCTATATCCCCTTCATACTAATTTCCTCAGAGTTTAACATAGATTGGCATGGATTGCTTTCATTTCTTCTTTGAAAAAGTCATATATATGTGTGTCAGGACACAGGCAATTGTAAAAGAAAAAATTAAGGTAAGGGATAATGTGCACAAGATCAACAAGGCCAGACTGTACCCAGTTTAAAAAATTAAAACCTTGATCATACAATCACAAAGAAGAATTGAGAGAAGACATCTAGACCAGGGCTTTTCAATGGGTGGTACGCGTACCACTTGTGGTACATTAACGAGTGGCAGGTGGTACGCAGCCCTGCCTTGCCAAGTGTAGCGGGGGAGGGAAAGAGCCAGCACAGGCAAGGGCTTACTGTTAGAGAGTCCTCTGGAGCTGCAGAGTGGCTGGGGCGAGGCAAAGGCCCCAGGCTCACTTCTGGCTCACCCTCCCCCATGAGAAAGGAGGAGAAGGGGGACAGAGACAGGACAGGCTATAAAAGGAGGCAGTTTGGGCAGGAGAGGAAGAGAGAAAGAAAGCAGCAGCCTTGGGAGAAGTCAGAGTCAGCTCCAGTTGCACGGAGGAGAAGGAGGATGAGGGGAGAGAAGAGGAGAGGAGATCAAGCAGATGAGCCGATCTACAACTGCTGTGGCAGCCACCAGTGCTGGCAGAAACAAACAGGCAAGAAATGCAGTGGGGGAGGGGTCGCCCTCCAAGAGGAATGAAAAAAGGCAGCAATGGCTGGAGGTGAGGCACAGAGGAGGGAAGGAGATGGAGAGTGGAAGGATTCTTATATGCTTTTGTGACCTTGAAGTTCTGGGATTTGTGCAATGTGGGGTTTGTGTTCTTAAGGAGTGTTTGGCAATTTCTATTTGGCTGATGGCCGATGTCTCCTGTTAGCTTCTATTGCTCTGCTGTTGTTAGCTGTAAGTTTTGCTGCAAGGGATTTTGAAGTATTTTTCTCCTAAATGGATTTTGCCTGTAGCATTCCTTTACTTGTGAATGGAGCCATTTGGAGAGGCTGCCTTCGCGGGCAGCCAGTACTTATTTACATTCTTGCCGGCTGTGCTCCTTAACTTTCCTTTCTAGCCAGTAGCTAATTCTTAAAGGGGAATGTGCCTTTTTAAGCTAGTTCACTCAGTAGCTTGTCTTTTCTGTCTCTGGAGGCTTTTCCTTGTTTGATGAATATATGGAGGAGGGAAAATATGGGGGGGGGGGTTTTCAAATTTTTCCTTCAGAAGGAGGTGGGCATGAGAAAGAGGGAGACAGGGAAGGAGGGCGGGAGGGTGGGAAGTCCCACCTTAGCACTTGGACACCAGCAGCCCTGCCATTGACTTTGCTTGTCAAAAGGTTGCAAAAGGGGATCACATGACCCTGGGACACTGTGACCATCATAAATATGAATCAGTTGCCAAGCATCCAAATATAAATCACATGACCCTGGGCATGCTGCAATGGTCATAAGTGTGAAAAATAGTCATAAGTCATTTCAGTGCAATTGCAACTTTGAACAGGATTTTTTTTTTTGGTCATAAGTTTTTGACACCTTGCTAGATGGTACTCGAATATTGTCATATTCTAAAAGTGGTACAATCGGTGAAAAGGTTGAAAAGCCCTGATCTAGACCATTGGAAACTACCACATTATTTGTCAAGCGAAAATAATTGGTTTGGAAGTTTAGTACTTTAATTATATCATGATTCTAGGCAGCATAAAGTATCAATTTAAAGCAAGAGTGTATAAGCAATACCAAAAATGTCCAGAAAATAACACAGAACTCTGGCAAAACAATCAGCACAAGATGTTCATTTAAATATAAATTCATTTTCAGAAGACTCTGAAACTTGTATTTCCATAAAGAAACAGAGGGCCCAGATAGATAAAACTATATGCTATTTCAGCAAAAAAAAACCCCAATAATCTTAAGTCTTGGTTCATTTCCTACATCAAGCTTAACTAAAATTCACTGAAGAACACACAACTGACTGGATTTACGCAAGCCTCAAATCATGGTTTAGAAACAAGTAAACATTAAGCCAAAACTAAACAAGCCACATTCTGGCTTATCAATGTATTGTATGATACATATTGTTCACATCACATATAATATATACAACTGTTTGAACACACTGTTTGTGCTACATATAAATTCATATTATTTGACAAAAATCCATCCCAAGACCACATATCACTCATTATCCTTATACCAGTTTTCTTAATTTTTTTCCCCTTATAATTATTTTCTTTTTCATTTTTAGTAATCATTCTGACAATATGCACCCTATCAAACACAACTATCTTAGTTTTTAATGTAATTTTCCGATCCAGACTCCTCATTTTATCTGTGGTGATAAAAAATACACCCCGCCACATACACACACATACAAGCTGAGGTGCTCCCCACACATATGAACTGCTTAAAGTGCCCTTAAGAAAATTCACAACCAATTACCCTGTGCGGTAACAAGGAGAAAACTCAGTTAGGAGCCTGTGGCTCAGCAAACCATATCTCAAAGATAGCACAGCTAGCATGCTGACCTAGTAGGAAGGCATAAATAGATTTATCTAAAATATTCTTGCCTCGCATTGTAATTTCCACTGTGTCTACCTTTTCCTTTGTCCTGCCTTTGCAATGTAATGGATCAAAGGTATATACTGTAAGTCCTGGTTCTGCTTTTGCACATAGACACTCAGCAAAGTATCAAAGCTGTTCTAAGAGTCCAGTATATAATGCAGTGCTTTTTTTCTAAAAAAAAAAAAAAAAAAAAAAGATGCCGGAACTCACACACGTCATACAACCTGCCTTGCCTACCCTACAAGGTTCCATCCAAAAAAGGTACCGGAACTCCGTTCTGGGCGTTCTATGAGAAAAAAAGCCCTGATATAATGTATTATTGCTTGTATACCTGCAAATAAAATTATATTGTATCCAAAGAGATTTGGTTGCTTTAGATGAACCAAGTTTTGGGCACAACACATCATACATTTTGTCGATTATTTGCCACAAATTATTTAGGTTCTCATTTAAAACTTATTTCACTAAGGATTGAAGGAAGCTACATCCGGTGTTGTAAAACATGATGTTCTGAAGGTTCCTTATATCTGAAAAGCAGTTAACAAGCAATTTCCAAAAGTAATTAAGAAAGGAAGTATATTAACCTGTGTCCATAAAAGTGCTGACCATAGTTTGGGCAAAGATGATACTCCCAATCTCTTAGAGCTCTAACACAAGGAACAATTGTTTGGAGTATATTTGGGCAATACCAAGTCCTCTCCTTGTCCAAATAGGAATCCCAAAGAGCCAGTCCATTTGCCTATTCTTTATTCCTCCATAATTTTCAGCTCTGCTCTTAGTGAACATATCTTCAGTTAACCATTTCTTCCTCAGAAGTCCCTCTTGTCAAGGCTGATTCATCCTTTCACCTATATTTTTCTCTTTTGCTCATATTTTGACAATGGAATGTAAAGGTGAGGAGGGATGATGTCTAGGCAATCGAGAACCAAAGTCACTAACACAGGTGCTCAATGAAGAAGTGGACTGTTTCCATAACAAGAAGAAATATTACTATTGGACAATGTGAACACTCGGAGGGTGAGGGAGTCTATTGTATAACTAAGCAAGCCTTCAAGCGGGAAAACCAGAGCTGGTTTGGCTTCTTCTGTGCCAATATAAATTTTCAGTAAAGTACTATACTCTTGGTAAAATCATGTTTGAGGAGTTTCTTTTTCTGGAAATGCCAACGGGACAGTTGACACCTCTTTCCAAACACCTCTAAACATTCATTTAGAGGAAAAAGTGAATATAATAATTCTGAATTTACTAAAAAATAAATCCACAGTTTAAAAAGTTGTTTACTATCCATTCATTCACCAGCCACTTCAATGGATCCATCATGTTAAGGGTGACAAATATATTTAAAGATTAAGAATGATTTCTTACTCATCTATTTCCCCCACCCACAAACTCTTTTTCCCTTTAAAAAATGACCTATGTATATTCTTGCTTTTCAAAATGAGGTGACAAACTATAGACTATTGAATATTAAACTGTATTGGCATATATGGCTGTCACAGGAACATTACATAAAATTCAGGTAGAGCCAATCAATGTTTGTCACTTTTTCTCTCTATATATGATTCTTTGTAAATAAATATATGAACTGATTGATCAGTAAATGCATGAAACATTTTATTTAAAGCTAGTTACTTTTGGCCCAAAGCATATATAATTTTTTTTAAATGTAATGAAATAATGAATGTTTTATATTAGAAGAATAAATGAAAGAATAATTTTGTTGTATTCCTCATGCATGTATGGAGAAGGCTAATGAAAAAATATAAATTAGAGGACAAGTAAAAAAAGAGGTTTATTTCACTATCTGTATCTCTCACAATTAAATTCCATTATATTCAATGAGACTTATTCCTGGGAATTTGTGCAGAGTTATAGTCTTAATTATGTGAAATGCTATTGGTATTCTTTTTAATGTAATTATGACTGCAATCAGCAGCAAAGAAGTCGTTGCTTGGCAGCATTTAGAAACAAGTATATAAGGGGACAAGATTCCAATTAGGATTTTGTCATTGGCCAGACAGAGACCTGGCAATTTTTACATTTCTACAAATATTGGCTATTAGACTTTTAAAACTTTCATTATTTGAGAAAATCCACTTCTGTGGGTTTTTTTTTAACTAATTTTATCCTGAGAATATCCTGGAGAAAAGCTTGGCCAAAAATTCTTCTAGATTAAGCGAGCGCCAATAACTTTTAGAAAAAGAACAAGTTTCAGGAAACAATCTCAAATGCTTATGGAGGCAGGCTTTGAAGTGTTTGAAGTGTTAAATGCTTTAAATTTATTGCATAAATGTTTATGAAACTGACCACAACCACCAGCTCACATATAATTAAAAAACCTGAATGGAGATGAATTTCATGGCAATTTCATAAGAGCATCAATGTCTTCCCTTGTTTAGTCAATGATTTATTACATTTATATGCCATTCTTCTGAAGTCATGATAGTGTACCTTTTTCACCCAAAGGTAGGTTGTGAGATAAGTTGGACCAACAGAGAGTGACTGGCCCAAACTCTTTCACTGAGCAGCCATAGCTAAGGATGGATTTTAGCTTTAATCACTTTAACCACCACACCACATAACTCAGTTAGAAAATGATTCTTTGTAAATATATGAACTGATTGATCAGTAAATGCATGAAACATTTTATTTAAAGCTAGTTACTTTTGGCCCAAAGCATATATAATTTTTTTTTAAATGTAATGAAATAATGAATGTTTTATATTAGAAGAATAAAAAGTAATACATAAAACAGCTGGCAACAATTGCATGAAATGAACTCTGTTATTGGATTAGGCCAATAGCCTATCTAGTTCAATATTTTGTATCTAACAGCAACCAAACAAAAGCAGTTTCCTGGAAGTAAATTCTTCTTGGTACATGTTGTTCCCAGATAGAAAGAGAATTATTTGTATTTACTAAAAAGCTCCAAATTAACTAAAAGTTCTATATGCCATCCAGTCACTTTATTTGAGTTGGCCAGCCCTATAAATCTATGAGATAAATAAATACTGACATTTTTCTTGATGGTAAACATATTTAGTCCTGTAATTATTTAAACTGCCATTTCTGCACTTTTTCATCTCTCAATTATCCATTTTAAGGAGAGGAGACCTGAATTACACACGGTATTCCAAATATTCACAGATTTATAAAAAGTCATTATTTGGGCTATTTTTATTAGGAGTATTGATAATGAGTGCAATCTCACTGAAGAAATGGCTTCTTTGATGCCATTAAAAGACATAACTAAATCTCTTGATTTGTATGAAGCAGTAAGAATTACATAAAAGCAATTTTCTTGAACCTTTGCCAACCTATCTGGTATAGCTACTCATGGCACCGCAGATATACTTGGTAAAAAAGAGGGATTTATAAGACTAATGAGCCATGGTGGCACAGGCTAATTCTGCTGACTGCCGGCTGTCAGCAGTTCAGCAGTTTGAATCTCACTGACTCAAGGTTGACTCAGCCTTCCATCCTTCTGAGGTCAGTAAAATGAGGACCCAGATTGATGGGGGCAATATGCTGACTCTGTAAACTGCTTAGAGAGGGTTGTAAAGCACTGTGAAGCACTATGTAAGTCTAAGTGCTATTGATAATAGAAGGTGGTGCAATTGCCACCAGCAACTCACATTTGATAAACCACTGCATCATATATCAAGAACATTTACGTACAGAAGTTTTAAAAATGGAGGTCATGCAAATTGTCATCAAAGCTGTAAACTCAATCATTGCCAATTCCAGGAATACCTTAAAAGTATGGGTGCTGATTATGGGGATATCATTTACTTTTCTGGAGTAAGATAGCTAAGTCAGGTAAAATATTGAAAAAAAATCTTAGGATTTGCAAAAATGATTTCCTTTGTAAATTGTGACAAACATCTAAGCCAATTCAGTAATCTAGAAAATATTTCAAAATTCCAACTAAGAGAAAAGATAATAATCCACCGTATTTTTTTATTTTCAAATTCAGGTGTGGCCTATATCATCCGGTTTCAAGACTAATTCTCATGCAGCAAAGGCTAGAATTAATATGCTCCAAAATTCCTAGTTGTCTAAGCATTTACCTGGGAACAGATACTTTCCATTTTAAAATGGATTAGAAAAATAAAAACATTGTTTTATATATTCAGGAAATTGTTTCACAGGCCGCAAGCAAACATGAGGTATCTTAGTATAAACTAAACTGAGTTCTTACCTGCCACCGTCCATAACTGAGTAGGAACAATGACACAGGAATGGCAGTGCCTGCCATCGCATGAGTTGAGGGCATGCTGTATTCAGAATTGTAGAAAACCTCCAGCTTCACTACTGGGGGAGAAGCAGGCCTTGGCCAGCGGATAATATCCTTGGTGCACTGGCCCAAATACATGATCCAAACCCAAATGATGATGAGTCTCCTGCCCAGCCAAGCATCCACATTCCAGAAGAAGGTGGGGAAAAACATGATATAGAAAAGTTCATTGCCAAGTTCTGTGCCAAAGCTGAAGAGGTAATAAAGGAAAAAATTATGGATTCTGAACTTCTGCGATATGGATTCTCCAGTCAGAGAGTTGCGGCGAGGATGGCTTTTTGAGACCCACTTCTTCTGCTTTTCTAGAGATGCTTGCTGCGATTCCACTCCACAGGTGTCTTCAGAAACCATCCCATTCTTCATACCATTTGAGTGGCTCTCCTCACGTTTCGCCTCCATGTTAAAAGAACCTGGGGACACGCATCGTCTGCCACTTTCACCCTGGGTCTTGGCAATGGTGCAGTTCCCGTTGGCCAAGGGGTGATCTGTGTCCACCATCTGAGTTGAGGAGACAGACCTCCAGTCCGGTAGTGCTTCTACACCGCATAGTTTTTGGAAACGGGCAACTTTCTCGGCATCCTGCAGGTAACAAATCAAGCGATGCAGCAGAGACATACTAGTTCTACTGTCAGAGGGCAACTCAAGTAGGTAAATCCGAAATCCAGGATGGAAAAAAATACCAAAGCAGGGAAAAAGATCTGCAAGTACTTCAGGATAATTTTCAGCAGAGACCACAAGCAGCGGAGTTTTTTTTTCAAAGTGAGAAACGGCTTGGAAAATAGGGGGAGCCGCTTCAGCAGATGACCCAGGCGTAGGACCTGTGGGCGCAGGGAAGGAACTAGGGCAGGTATGACTTCATAAGGCACGCTGGGAAGGACACTAAACCTTGCTGGCTGGAGAAGGGAAGGGGGAGAAGCAACGGGAGTAGTATATAGGGCAGAAGAGGAGGAGCTTCGGGATAGGGAGGAGAAAGCGAAACGGGAAAGAAAGAAGTGAAGCTAAAATGCAGCCCAAAAAGACCCAGGAGAGGAGGAGGGCGGGTTAACCCGTCCGGGTGCGAGGCGGCTGAGAACGGGTTCACCTCCAGAAAAGAGGGGAGCCAGCTGACGAGCGGGCAAAGAACAGCTCCGGATGGGAAATCACGGTCCTCCGAAAAAGACGGCGTCAATCGGGCATTCAGTCAGTCGACCCAGCGGCCGTTCCGCCTAACATCCCCACGCAGCCTCTCCCGGCTCTCGCTGCTCCGCGCAGCACCAATTCCGTACAAGTCCCGCCTGCGCCTGTGGGCTGCTCTTACTTAGCTGGGGCGCGCGCACGCGCGATTAATCCCCGTCCGAAGAATCCGCTGAGCGGGAGCGCGCACGCCAAATATGAACCGCAGGGCGTGCGCGAGATGGCGGAAGGAAAGAAGAGGCGGGAGGGGGGTGGCGCCCAGGTGTTCCCTCCCGTAACCTGCTTATTAATCGAATTTGTATCCCGCCTTTCGGCCGCGGATGCCGCTTTTCTAAGGCGTCTAATAAAAGCCCACCAAAATTGATAATCACAATATTAAAGCGAATACAAATCCCATAAATCACACTGTGCAGTTTTACAATGCCAGCCTATATCTGGAGCTGACAACTGTATCAGCTGGAGGGGGGTGTCTTTGGACCGTAGTATAAATTTAGCAATAGCACTTATATGCTGCCTCATAGTGCTTTACAGCACTCTCTGGTTTACAATGTCAGCATATTCTCAGCATATTCTTTACAGCACTCTCTCTGGTTTACAATATCAGCATATTCTCAGCAGTCTGGATCCTCACTTTACTGACTGAGAAGGATGGAAAGCTGAGTCAACTTGAGCTGGTCGTGACTGAACTCCAGACTGGGCAGAGTTTTCCTCTCTGCTGCACTTTAACCACTGTGCCACCAGGGCTCATTTTAATAACTTATCACCTCTTAAAGTACAACAAATGATCTCTTTTCTTCCATTTCTCTTTTCTATAAACAACATCTTTAAAGCTGAACTTTAAAGTTCAGTCCTGGTTATTAAGGGCTGCCAGAGACAATAACATACCTATTTTAACCTTGATCAAATAAACCAACTTTATATTCCTTTTACTTTTGATAATTTTGATTTTATATTCCTTCCTTTCCCTTTTAACAATCTTGTTCTTTAATCCCCTCAAACAACGTCCTAACACTTGATTTCTTCTCATTTTTTCTTTGTCCATTCTCACAAAATTCTTCAAAACTTTAATAAGTCTCTTATTAAGTCCAATATAAAAAAGTTATCCAGGTCACTCTTTTTCTTTGTTAAGACGTCAGCCAATTTCATTTGTAGATGCAGTGTAACACCTTGTTCTGGATGATTCCCATAGTCTGTAATTTTAAAATCCATTTTAAAATCAGTCTCAGACCTATCTGGAAAAAATTGCTCCTCTTCAATAATCAGTTTTTCTATAATGGCAAATGCTTATAAAAGTATATTGTGGATCCCTTATTCATGATTATCCTTCAATACATCCAGTATTATTTTTGCCTTATTCTGTATTAATAAGACTACTTTAAGTCTTCTTCACCTTAATTATAATCTTTAGCTCCTTTTGGTTCCCTCTAGGATCAAAGCTTCAAGATACTATTTTACATATTTTAAGTATTCAAAACAGCAGCATGACCCAACAGGAAGGATTCTTATAATTAGTTTCAAAAACTTATTAAAAAAAATAAATACATTTCAAATCCATTTTAGTCCATTTGTAACTTTCCAAAATCAGTGTTTAAGTCACTATTTTGCTGTTTATTCTCCCAAAATATTGTCAGTATATTGCCCCCAATAATCTAGATCCTCATTTTACCGACCTCAGAATGATTGAGCCAGTCAGGCTTGAACTCCTGGAGTGAGCAGTGCATTCTAATCACTGCACCACCACAGCTCTTGATGATCCTACTTTAGATACATTATACAAAGACCCAAATCTTTGGAGGAGGTTCTGATGTGGGGACAGTTGGAAGGAAAGAGAAGAGGACCGGCATAACAAGGTGGATGGACTCAGTTGCACTAGTTATGGTGTTGGGAGACGTGAAAGACCAAATTGTGGCCAGCTATTCATAGAGAGAATCTACCCATATATCTTTAAGAGTCAACCTCAACTTGAGGTTGAGGTTGACTCTTAAATCTACCTATATATCTTTAAGATTCAACCTCAACTTGAGGATATAATCAAACAATCAATTGCAATATATTTGGAATATTGGTGGAACTGGTTTGATTTAATTATGAAGCTTTGTGTAGCTTCTGGGAGTTGATCTTACGTCTATTAAGCTTATCTAAACACAGCCTGATGAATTTGAAGCTCCCACTCATAAGAACAGTTCTCTTGAAGCAGCAATTCAAGATGAGGTACTGATTAAATTATGTTATTTATTTCTTCTCAATGGAAAGGGCAGACATTATGGTAAAAGTGGAGCTAATCCCTAAACCTCTTGGCAGGGAACTCTATAATGTGGAAACTATTATCAGTTTGTGGGGAATTGCTTTCCAATCTCTTTATTTGAGGAATATTGGTTACTATATGAGATGATGAAATACCTTGGACTATAAAATCTTGCTTGACAAACGATTTCTACTATAAAGACTATTTATAGTAGAAAGAGATGGATGAGGACCAGGAAAAGATTTTTCTATGTTGAAAGCAATACATAAAACCATTCTTTCAGCTTGTGACAAAATAAGATGTTACAGAAAAGAACAAGATGTCAGCTTAGATATACAAACCCAAATTCCAACTACAACTAAAGAAATAACAACGCAGAAGGTAACAGAAGAAGTGGAACAACCAAATACTAAGACAGAGGACTCAATTGACCAACAAATACAGTCAATGGAAGGGATTGACAATACTGAAAATGGAAAAGACTTTCTATATAAACCAGGAGAAATTTGAGGAGCAAGAAGAAGAACAGACTGAATGGAAAATAAACATACCAGGACAATTATGCGGATGTGAAATAATAGGGAGACGATTTAAGGAATACAAATGGGCTAGCCCTTCCAAAAAAAATGGCAACTAAATGGTATGTCTTATTCCAAACAATATATATAATAATAGAGGGAGATCTATTTGATGATTTAAAAGCGTTGAGATGAAAGGCTAGTTGGCAAAGAAAGAAAGCCAGAATAAGACTGAAGAAAATTGGGGTTTTGATTTATTAGAGAAGATTTTATATTACTAATTAGAGGGTCAAAGGGAGAAGTTGAGATAAGGGTCATTAAATTTAAAATATTTGGAAATTAGTCAAAAATAAGGATGCTATTTGTTTAATACTTAAAAATTAGAACCAAAAGGAAAAAAAAATTATGAATATGTTTGATTTACTGATTAACTCAAACAATATATATAATGGGCTTTGATTTACTAAAGGGGACACTGTTTTATTAATTAGATGATGTAAGATGGGTAGAAATAGATAACTTTTAGGAAATAGAACAAGATTATACCCAAATAGATAAGATGTGTATTTTGAATATTAGATTCTGTTATGAATTAAAGGAAACTTTGGTTACCTAAAACCTGGAAATTATAAATATCAAATGTTAAAGTTGAATATTGATGGGAAACTAAAAATTGGGAAAAACCAACAATAGGACATTGATTGAATGTAAAGATTGAATGTAAAAGTAATTAAGATATGTATAAGCTAAAAATTTATCGATAAATGTAATAATGATGTATTTATTTAGTTGATATAATAAGAACTGTATTAGCTTAAATATGAGATAGTAGATATTAAGGGAAAAAGAGAGGAAATATTTGAGGTTGTAGTTTGAGATTTGTACTAAAAAAAATTGTATGTTACTGAACTATTGATTAACCTAGCCACCACATTGCTTTTTAAATTTCTAAAGGTAAAATTAGAAAATTAATTAAAAATTATTTTTGAAAAAAGACTCTCTCTTGCGGTCTACCAAGATAGGAAAAAAAGATCCTTCTCATTAATTCTAAAACCTTAGCAGTTTTAACTTAACTTACAAATTAGGGATAATTAGGAATAATCCATGGAAAATTATTTCGCTGCAAGTTTCTTTGCTTCTGATTTGGTGATTCTTTTAATTGCTTAAATAGTAAACAGAGCTGCAAAAAAGGGTAAAATATATTAATGTCAAAAAAAAGCAAAGTTATGGTGAAAGGCCAAAGCCACATTTATGATCTTGTGGATTTGAATGTGCTCCCTTTCTGATTAGTCCCAACTCTATCTGGCTCTAACTAAGCTACATGCCCCAACTAGCAGCTTCTAAATGTCATCCCGCTGCATTTCTGGATTTAGAAATCTCAAATAAACAAATTGTACTCTTCCCAATCAACTGTGCATAGACATAAATCAATAAGGTTCAGTTCTCTTTTGTCTTTCTTTCTGAAAATGTTTCCTTTCTAGTTTTCTTAAGAAAGCTTTAAGAGCTGAGATTGGAAAGTTTTCAAGTAACAATGAGTAAGAGGAACAAAGATGAAAAATGTTCCCAAACCCCACCAAGTCCAGTTGCACAATCAGTGACTCTTTCATTGTTTTAATGAAAGGTTTGGGACAGATGCATAGAGGCCTCTTGGGAGAAAAGCTAAGGCATAAAAGCACTGCAATCAGAAAATAGTGTAAAGCACTGGATATGGTTTCACATAGAAAATTAAACCTCATTTTGCTGGGATGAATCATAGCTCTGTTATTAATGCAACATGGAGACACATACTGTATATATTTTAAATATATCAAACTA